CTATGGGTCTCTGTGTCAGTCATTTGATCTCTATGCAAGTCTATGGGTCTCTATGTCAGCCATTGTATCTCTATGTAAGTCTATGGGTCTCTATGTCAGCCATTGCATCTCTATGTAAGTCTATGGGTCTCTATGTCAGCCATTGATCTCTATGTAAGTCTATGGGTCTCTATGTCAGCTATTGTATCTCTATGTAAGTCTATGGGTCTCTATGTCAGCCATTGTATCTCTATGTAAATCTATGGGTCTCTATGTCAGCCATTGTATCTCTATGCAAGTCTATGGGTCTCTATGTCAGCCATTGCATCTCTATGTAAGTCTATGGGTCTCTATGTCAGCCATCGTATCTCTATGTAAGTCTATGGGTCTCTATGTAGCCATTGTATCTCTATGCAAGTCTATGGGTCTCTATGTCAGCCATCGTATCTCTCTGTAAGTCTATGGGTCTCTGTGCGAGTCACTGGATCTCTGTGTAAGGATAATGGATGTGGCGAGAGAGAAGAAGCAGATGAGAAGCAGTGCATACGGTGAAAGGAAATCGGAGAGACCAGCCCCTTGCGCTAATGGGACTTCTGGCTTTGCACAAGCTGTGAGTCTATGGGTCTCTAGGCTCATGTAAGTGTATGTGAATCTGTGGGTTCGCACGTACTGTAAGGCTGTGTAATTGTCACGGGTCTGTATGTAAGTCTATGGGTTCCTTTGCAAGTCTGTGGACCATGTATTTGGACATCTGGACATCTGTGAAACAGAGCTTCATAGCTCATCGGATTCCTCCAGGATAAATACAGATGCTGATTCTGTAATCGTGCGCGAGTCCGTCTCCGAGTCTGTATGGTTCTCTATGCAAGTGTGTGGACCATGTCAATTGTATGCAAGTGTGTATAGGAATCTGTATGCAAGTCTATGAGTCTCTATGTAAGTCTATGAGTCTCTATGTAAGTCTATGAGTCTGTATGTGAGTCTATAAGTCTGTATATAAGTCTATGAGTCTCTATCTAAGTCTATGAGTCTGTATGCAAGTCTATGATCTCTATAAGTCAATACGTCTGTAAGTCTATGAGTCTGTATATAAGTCTATGAGTCTGTATGTGAGTCTATAAGTCTGTATATAAGTCTATGAGTCTCTATGTAAGTCTATGAGTCTGTATATAAGTCTATGATCTCTATATAAGTCAATACGTCTGTATGTAAGTCTATGAGTCTGTATATAAGTCTATGAGTCTCTATGTTAGTCTATGAGTCTGTATGTTAGTCTATGAGTCTCTATATTAGTCTATGAGTCTATATATAAGTCTATGAGTTTGTATGTAAGTTTATGAGTCTGTATGTTAGTCTATGAGTCTCTATATTAGTCTATGAGTCTGTATGTAAGTCTATGAGTCTGTATGTAAGTCTATGAGTCTGTATGTAAGGCTATGAGCCTGTATGTAAGGCTATGAGCCTGTATGTAAGTCTATGAGTCTGTATGTAAGTCTATGAGTCTGTATGCAAGTCTATGAGTCTGTATATAAGTCTGTGAGTCTGTATGTAAGTTTATGAGTCTGTATGTAAGTCTATGAGTCTGTATGTAAGTCTATGAGTCTGTATGTAAGTCTATGAGTCTGTATATAAGTCTATGAGTCTGTATGTAAGTCTATGAGTCTGTATATAAGTCTATGAGTCTGTATGTAAGTTTATGAGTCTGTATGTAAGTCTATGAGCCTCTATGTAAGTCTATGAGCCTGTATGTAAGTCTATCGGTCTCGATGCAAGTCTACGTGTCTCGGTGCAAGGCCACGTTTCCCCCCTCTCGTAAATAAGTCGACGGATTTGTATGGAAAGGGTAACGCACGTGGCTAAGAGAAGTGGTACAGAACAGAGGCACACGGAGGGAGTGCAAATGTTCGCATGCTGATCGGCCCATCTGTAAAAAGAGCTTCCATAGCTCATGGGCTTCTGAGTCTAAATCAAGATCGTGGTCCTGATGTACGGTTGAACTTCTTCCGTGCCGTACGTGGCCAGCCGTGACGATCACAGCGCACGGGTGGAAAGGCAACGAACCAAACACAATAAGCCGTTCCAAATAAATGAGTTTTCAATACCAAAGCGCGCCAAACTGCGGTGGCTTCCTCGCATCGCAATTCCGGACGGGAAGCGCGAAGGGAAACGTGGGGGGGGGAAGGAAACCGGAACTCGTTGGCGATTTGGCGACCGTAACTCCGTGCGGTCTCCGAGAATCCCGGCTGGGAAGTCGCGACCGACAGACCGACGCGCCTGGCTGAGCCGACTTTGCGCTGTCCTCGACGTCGAGGGGCGGGTGGTGGTGGGGGTGTGGTCTGGTCCCTGTTACACGAATGTGGGGTTTTTTGCTTTAATTATTTTCGAATTGTTTTTATTTTGAATTTAATTTTATTATTTTTATTGTGGGTTTTTTTTCTGCTTTTATCATTTCGCATTTATTCATTATTATGTATTACTTTTTATGTATTTTTTGTATAAAAAATGTTCTCTTTTTACGTGACTTTACCGAAAGAATCAAGAATAAGAATGTGGAACTTGGCACCAACTCCCCGGGACACTCAGTGGACAGGAGCGAGCCGCTTGTGAGCCAGGCGCGTGACCGCCACCTCCTCTGCACAAGCCGTGAACGCGCGCGCACGCTGGTGGCCTCGTAGCCGTATACAGCTGTTGCGAGTGCTGTTCACTCTGTAACTGTGTACAAGTGTGCGTGTGTGTCTCTCTCTCTCTCAACAGCGGGGAGCACATGTGGCGCATCTGCCAGTCATCTCTCGATCACTCCGATGAGCACGGTGGGCTACGTGCGGTGCGAAAGAAGTTCAACGTACACGTGTGACACAGCAGGCGAGCCTTCGACACTTCACGCGGCCTCAAGGTGCACCTAGCCTGGCACAAGTTCCGTGGTGACGCCACGGCCACGTTAGTGGTGTTGTTGTTGTTGTGTCTCAATGTAGCGAATATTTCAACCGATCCTGGACCTACCCGACAGGTGGACGAAGCCTTTATCGAGTAACCCCCCTCCCGCCTCCGCGGCGTGCAAACATTTGCGTTGGGGGGAGACAAAGGCGGCCGGGCCGCCCACGGCCCTGAACCACACTGCACCTGGATGCGCCGTGCTGACCCTAATAGGTGCTCGCCAACAGCACTTGCCCCCACACCGGCCTGTGAGGCTATATTTGGTGGCGCTTTCTCTTTGTGTGTCCAGGTTGGGGTGGGATGAATGAGATGGCGCGGTGACTCATCGCGCCCCGTCCTCGTGTCAGCGGCAATTGTGCGGAATTCATAAAAAAAAACGTTCCTGGGCTACAAAGACAAAGATCCCCTCCCGCGTAGCGTAAGCAGACCCTTGGGGCAAGTGCTGTTAGCGAGCGGCACCTATGAAGGCCGAACACGGCACACGAGTGGGGGGGGTGGGGGGGTGGGTGGCCAGCACCACGCCCGGCCGCCTTTGTCTCCCCCGGTGGCGATGTTTACGTGCAGCACCGCGGTACTCATTGGAGGCTGAACCGACCTAGGGGGAGGCCCAGGACCGGTTCAGACGATCGCCACCGGGTGTTGTGCCGTGAGCGGGAATCGCCGGGTTCGTAGCGCAGCGTAGCGCTAACCGCTGCACCACGGTTCCCGGGCTACACACACACAAACTCACACTGTGCCTCATTAACCTCCTTTATTTAACCACTTGACAGCCCATCCAGATTCGTTATCTCTTTAGAGCCCACGTGTGTGTGTGTGTGTGTTGGAGATTGCCGGGGGAGCGGTGGCGCAGCGGTTAGCGCTCCGCGCTGCCAAACCCGGCGACCCGAGTCCGATTCCCGGCTGACGGACAACGTCCCGTGACGATTAGTCCGAAGCGGTACGGGGCATCCCCTAGGTCGACTCAGCCTCGAAATGAGTACCTGGTGCGGTGTGTGTCAACATCGTCACGAGGGAGACAAAGGCGGCCGGGCGTGGTGCTGGCCACCCACCCCCTCGTGTGCCGTGTTCGGCCTTCATAGGTGCGCAACTAACAGCACTTGCCCTAACGGTCTGTTAACGCTACCCTGGGGATCTGTGTCTTTGTTAATGACCGCGTGTATTCTGTATGGATCTCGGACTGCCGTATGCACACAAACACCACACGGGGCTTTATTTCAGCTGGGAGCTGTCCAGGCCTGACAAAGAAATCCCTGTACGTAAACAACAAATACAAAGGTATCCCCTGTAGCCTTCACAGGCTGTTGGGGCAAGTGCTGTCAGCGAGCATCTACGAAGGCCGGAACGGCACACGAGGGGGTGGGTGGCCAGCACCACGCCCGGCCGCCTTTGTCTCCCCAGTGGCGATACTCACACATCGCACCAGGTATTCATTTGTGGCTGAGTCGACCTAGGGGAGGCCCAAGACCGGTTCAGATAATTGTCGCTGGTGCTGACTGTGAGCGGGAATGGAACACACACAAAGGCAGAGATCCCCCATATAGCCTGTAACAGACTGTTGGGGCAAGTGCTGTTAGCGAGCACCTACATTGACACACACAGCATCAAAAACGACCGCCATTCGCCACTAAGTGGCGGCGGCGTCACCACGGCGCTTGTGCCAGGCTAAGTGCACTTCAAGGCCACGTGAAGTATCGAACAGTGAGACACACACACAAAAAAAGATCCCCCGTGTAGCATTAACAGACTGTAAGGACAAGTGCTGTTAGCGAGCACCAATGAAATCCGGAACAGCACACGACGGGGTGGGTGGACAACTGCACGCCCGGCCGCCTTTGTCTCCCCCAGTGGCGATGTTTACACACCGCACCAGCTACTCATTTGAGGCCGAGTCGACCCAGGGGAGGCCTAGAAACTGGTCAGACAGCCGTCACTGGGCGTCGGCCGCGCGCGGGAATCGAACTCGGGCCGTCGGGTTTCGTAGCGCAGCGTAGCGCGCTAACCGGTGCGCCACCGCTCCCCGTGCCCACCCACGCGCACAGAGTGACGCACGCGCGCGCGCGCGCGCACAACGCGGCGTGCTCGCTCACCTTTGCACTGGTAGCCTTGCTTCCCCACGCCCCTGCGCACGCGGCCGGGACGCACGGAGGAGAGACAGAGGGATAAAAGGGGACGGTCAGTCGGACACCGCTCACGGAGCGCTCAGTCGCTCGGGCCCCCACCGCGGCCTCCTCCGCCTCAGCAGCGGCCTAAAGGTCAAGCGGCCTTGCCACGCAGAGGTCAGCGCTTCGAATGCCTCTCTCCCGGCGCGGCAGTGTGAAATAATGGGGGGGGGGGAGGGGGTCCAGTTTCTTCTCCCCCTGCGTCCCCCCCCCCCCCACACACACCCCACGCGGTGCACCGACCCGCCACAGTTAATTCGATCGGTAGGTCGCGCGTGTGTGGTGGTGGTGGTGGGGTCCAGTGTGGGTACTCCCACCTCTTCCGAGATGGGCAAGGGTGGCAGCGTGGCGGCGTAGAAGCGCAACAACAAAGAGGCATCGTCGTTGGTTCTTTCGATAAAGTCACGATGCTTGAAAAATAATCATAATAATAAAAGAAAGTGAATAAAAATAAAAATAAAAAATAAACAAAGAATATGATTTGCTGCAGGCCACGAAAGTTTTTAAGTCAACATTTTTACAAAGAGGCAATTTTTGTTTGTTGCCGTATTTCGTTAAACAACAACAACAACAAAAGACCTCAACGTTTTAAGTGCCGCAATGCATTGTGGTGAATACGGGAACGGCTCCTTGATAAATAACGGGTCACGAAGCAGCCGCGGGTTGCCGACTCCTGCTCTGTGGAGACAGAGAGGCTCTCTAGTGCCCCCGATTAGTTGGGAGGGGCTGGGGCTTCCGCCAGCAGTGGCGTCAGCCAAGGAAATTCCAGGGCTGCGCCTTTATCTTGACGCATTGAGAGATCCGGCACGTGATCGCGTCCTTCCCCCACCACCACCAGCTCCCACCCCCTCCCCTCCTACTCCCTCCTCATCCCTCCTGCCCTTCCTCCTCCTCCTTTCTTCTCTCGCAACCTTTTCCAAGATGAAAAGGTCACGGGGTCAAAAGCAATTAATTAAGACGTGGGAGGAAAACGTGTTGGGCGAGGAATCATTACGGCCATTAGTCTAATGGAGAAGACGCGAGGGGGTGGAGAGCCGGGGGATGCGGAGGGGGGGGGTGATGGGGAGTGGAGGTCAAGGTTAGAGTGAGCTTGAGGGATTATGGTCATCGTCGTGTTCATGGGGTTATCGGGTGAGAGGTTCGTGCTGGGATTGTCGTGCCGTGTGAGGGCTGGCGGTTTTGGCGCTAGGGGACAGCGTTCACGCAAAGGGTCGGGGTTCCCGTTCGGTTCAGTTGTGGGGAGGTGGTTTAGGGTCAGCGTTGGAGTCAGCGTTAGGGTGAGCGTTAGGGTTAGTACCAGGGTCGGCGTTAGTGTTGGGGTCAGCGCTAGTGGTTATGGTTAGTGTGACGTGTTGGGGTTAGGGCTAGTGGTTATGGTTAGTGTGAGGTTGGGGTCAGTGCTAGTGGTTATGGTTAGTGTGAGGTGTGGGGTTAGGGCTAGTGGTTATGGTTAGTGTGAGGTGTGGGGTCAGTGCTAGTGGTTATGGTTAGTGTGAGGTGTTGGGGTCAGTGCTAGTGGTTATGGTTAGTGTGAGGTGTGGGGTTAGGGCTAGTGGTTATGGTTAGTGTGAGGTGTTGGGGTCAGTGCTAGTGGTTATGGTTAGTGTGAGGTGTGGGGTCAGTGCTAGTGGTTATGGTTAGTGTGAGGGGTTGGGGTCAGTGCTAGTGGTTATAGTTAGTGTGAGGTGTTGGGGTCAGTGCTAGTGATTATGGTTAGTGTGAGGGGTCAGTGCTAGTGGTTATGGTTAGTGTGGGGAGTTGGGGTCAGTGCTAGTGGTTATGGTTAATGTTGGGGTCAGGGTCAGTGCTAGTGGTTATGGTTAGTGTGAGGTGTTGGGGTCAGTGCTAGTGATTATGGTTAGTGTGAGGGGTCAGTGCTAGTGGTTATGGTTAGTGTGAGGTGTTGGGGTCAGTGCTAGTGGTTATGGTTAGTGTGAGGTGTGGGGTTAGGGCTAGTGGTTATAGTTAGTGTGAGGTGTTGGGGTCAGTGCTAGTGATTATGGTTAGTGTGAGGGGTCAGTGCTAGTGGTTATGGTTAGTGTGGGGAGTTGGGGTCAGTGCTAGTGGTTATGGTTAATGTTGGGGTCAGGGTCAGTGCTAGTGGTTATGGTTAGTGTGAGGGGTGGGGTCAGTGCTAGTGGTTATGGTTAGTGTGAGGTGTGGGGTCAGGGCTAGTGGTTATGGTTAGTGTGAGGGGTTGGGGTCAGTGCTAGTGGTTATGGTTAGTGTGAGGGGTCAGTGCTAGTGGTTATGGTTAGTGTGAGGTGTTGGGGTCAGGGCTAGTGGTTATGGTTAGTGTGAGGTGTGGGGTCAGGGCTAGTGGTTATGGTTAGTGTGAGGTGTTAGGGTCAGTACTAGTGGTTATGGTTAGTGTGAGGGGTCAGTGCTAGTGGTTATGGTTAGTGTGAGGGGTCAGTGCTAGTGGTTATGGTTAGTGTGAGGTGTTGGGGTCAGTGCTAGTGGTTATGGTTAGTGTGAGGGGTTGGGGTCAGTGCTAGTGGTTATGGTTAGTGTGAGGGGTCAGTGCTAGTGGTTATGGTTAGTGTGAGGGGTCAGTACTAGTGGTTATGGTTAGTGTGAGGTGTGGGGTCAGTGCTAGTGGTTATGGTTAGTGTGAGGGGTTGGGGTCAGTGCTAGTGGTTATGGTTAGTGTGAGGTGTGGGGTTAGGGCTAGTGGTTATGGTTAGTGTGAGGTGTGGGGTCAGTGCTAGTGGTTATGGTTAGTGTGAGGTGTTGGGGTCAGTGCTAGTGGTTATGGTTAGTGTGAGGTGTTGGGTCAGGGCTAGTGGTTATGGTTAGTGTGAGGTGTGGGGTCAGTGCTAGTGGTTATGGTTAGTGTGAGGGGTTGGGGTCAGGGCTAGTGGTTATGGTTAGTGTGAGGGGTCAGTACTAGTGGTTATGGTTAGTGTGAAGTGTGGGTCAGGGCTAGTGGTTATGGTTAGTGTGAGGGGTCAGTGCTAGTGGTTATGGTTAGTGTGAGGTGTGGGTCAGTGCTAGTGGTTATGGTTAGTGTGAGGGGTCAGTGCTAGTGGTTATGGTTAGTGTGAGGGGTTAAGGTCAGTGCTAGTGGTTATGGTTAGTGTGAGGTGTGGGGTGAGTGCTAGTGGTTATGGTTAGTGTGAGGTGTTGGGTTAGGGCTAGTGGTTATGGTTAGTGTGAGGGGTTAAGGTCAGTGCTAGTGGTTATGGTTAGTGTGAGGTGTTGGGTTAGGGCTAGTGGTTATGGTTAGTGTGAGGTGTGGGGTCAGTGCTAGTGGTTATGGTTAGTGTGAGGTGTTGGGTTAGGGCTAGTGGTTATGGTTAGTGTGAGGTGTTGGGGTCAGCGCTAGTGGTTATGGTTCACGTTAGATGCCCTGATTAAGTTGGTGGTTCCATTACCACCACCCCAAGGACATCACAGCAAGGCGACGCAGGAAACGTGACCAGATATGCGAGCAGACCGACCGACGGACACAGAGATACAAAGACAGATCGGCAGACAGACGGGCACAGAGATAGACACACACACAGACCGACCGACAGACACAGGCGGATACACAGACGGATATATCGACGGGCAATGGAGATCGATAGCTCGCACGAGCAGAGAGCAGCGAGCAAACGCGCACAGACAGACAAGAACAGACAGACACGTGAACAATCACACACACACAGAGAGACAGACGCACGCATGGACACGCAAGGACACGCACAGACAAGCACGCACACACAGACACGGACAGTCACGCAGACACACAATCACACACGGACATGCGCGTGCACGCACAGAGACGCGCGCACAGGCAGACACGTACACACAGACACAGAGACACGCGCGGGGAGCGGTGTTGGGGGGGGGGGGGGTGATGGAGGGTGATGGAGGGGGGGGGGGGGGTGCCTGCGTGGGGGAGCGCGTGGGCGTTTTGCGGGATGAGGGTGGGGGGCGCGGGGGCTGCGTGGTGGTGGGGGGGTGATGGAGGGGTGGGGGAGGCTTGTGTGGGTTGGTTGGAACGGGGGGGGGGTTGGATGTGATGAGGGGGGGGTGATTTTAGGGGATGATGGGGAGGAGGAGTTGCGGGGGATGATGTGGGAGGGGCTTGTGGGGGGTGATGGGGGAGGGGGTGAAGGAAGGTGATGTGAGGCGGGGGGGGGGGGCTGTGGGAGGTGATGGGGGGGGATACAAAGGCGGCCGGGCGGGCGTGGTTGTTGGCCTCACCCCAACCCCCCATCGCCTCGATAGGCCTGCATGGAGACGACACGGGGAATCTCTCTGTCTCTGTGGGGGCGGCGGGGGAGGGTGGGGGGCTGTGACGTGAGGGGGGGGGGGGCGAGGGGGCGGGGCGAGCTGTGACGTAAGGGAGAGGGGGCGGGGCTAAGGGGCGGGTCTTGGGGGGGGGTGGTGGTGGGGAGATCCTCACCAGATGAAGTCGGTGCAGTGGCTGCAGAAGGTGGGCTGCTTGAAGAATCTCGGCACGAACTGGTGATCCTTCACCTCCGAGACGTTCTTCTGCTTGAGCGCGCCCTTCCGCGCGAAGCCCCGCGGCGCCTTCTCCTCCCCGTCCCCCATGCTGCCCCCGCTGCCCCCGCTGCCCCCGCTGCCCCGTCCAGAGCTGCCCGCGCCCTCCATCCCTCCCACCGCGGGGCGCGCTCCCTCCGGGCCGCCCGCCAGCACCGCGCCTCCCCCCCTCGCCTCCACCCCGCGCCTCGGGCTCGAACCTGCAGCCTCCCAACTCCGGGGCGTCTTCGGGCCCCGTCGGGGTCCGGACCCCCTCGGTTCCAGTTTATTCGCCCATCGGGGTACCGGGGGTGACCGCGTTGTGGCAACCTCTCCGCCCCCACCACCACCCCCGACCCACCCCAGCCCCTCTCTCCGGGGCCCCCTTGGCGACGAACGGGGACTCCTGCCGGAGGAGCCCTGGGTTCCTCTGACGCTTCCCGGGGGTATCCCCTCGCTCGTGGGGGTCTCGCGGCTCCTGGGGATGCGAGGGACGGCGCAAGGGGGCCGCGGGGCGGGGGTCCCGGGTTTAGGAGCGCGCGTCGCTACCTGAGCGGTTTGAGTTGGTGAGGCGTCTGATCGGTGATGCAGAAGATCCACATGACGCTTGGTGTGTTCGCGTGTGTGTGTCTGTGTGTGTGTCTGTGTGTGTGTCTGTGTGTGTGTGTCTGTGTGTGTGTCTGTGTGTGTGTGTCTGTGTGCGTGTCCGTGTGTGTGTCTGTGTGTGTGTGTCTGTGTGTGTGTCTGTGTGTGTGTGTCTGTGTGTGTGTCCGTGTGTGTGTCTGTGTGTGTGTGTCTGTGTGTGTGTCTGTGTGTGTGTGTCTGTGTGTGTGTGTCTGTGTGTGTGTCCGTGTGTGTGTCTGTGTGTGTGTCTTGTGTCCGTGTGTGTGTCCGTGTGTGTGTCTGTGTGTGTGTCCGTGTGTGTGTGTTTTGTGTGTGTGTCTGTGTGTGTGTGTCCGTGTGTGTATCCGTGTGTGTGTGTTTTGTGTGTGGGTCTGTGTGTGTGTCCGTGTGTGTGTCCGTGTGTGTGTCTGTGTGTGTGTCTGTGTGTCCGTGTGTGTGTCTTGTGTCCGTGTGTGTGTCCGTGTGTGTGTCTGTGTGTGTGTCCGTATGTGTGTCCGTGTGTGTGTGTTTTGTGTGTGTGTCTGTGTGTGTGTGTCCGTGTGTGTATCCGTGTGTGTGTGTTTTGTGTGTGGGTCTGTGTGTGTGTCCGTGTGTGTGTCTTGTGTGTGTGTCTGTGTGTGAGTCTGTGTGAGTCTGTGTGTGTGTATGTCTATATAGGAATGGGGATCGGTGGTGTAGCGCTTAGCGCGCTGCGCTATGAACCTGGCGGCACGAGTTCGATTCCCGCTCACGGCCAACATCAGTGACGATGATTTAAACCGGTCCCGGGCCTCCCCTAGGTCGACTCAGCCTCAAATGAGTACCTGGCGCGGTGTGTAACATTGCCACTAGGGAGACAAAGGCGGTCGGGCGTGGTGCTGGCCACCCACCCCCTCGTGTACCGTTCCGGCCTTCATAGGTGCTCGCTAACAGCACTTACAGCCTGTTAAGGGGTCTTCGTATGTCTGTGTATCTCGCTGTGTGTGGGTCAGAGCGGTGATACATTGATTCGGGGATACACTGAGTTCGAATCCTGGCCACGGTGGCGAGTGGCATTAAGAATCCGTCCCTCGCGGGCTTAATAGGTGCTCGCAAACAGCCCGTGTCTACTCGCCTCTGTCCCGTCTGTCTATCTGTACGGCTGTAATCCCTCTCTGTGTATCTCCATGTCTCTCCCTGTCTGACTACAAACACCCCCCCTCTCCTCCTCCCCCGCGCCCCTCCCCTCTCCTCCTCCCCCGCGCCCCTCCCCTCTCCCCCGGCCCCCACCTCGCGTGCGCGTGCACCTGCCGCGAACGCACGCGCGCCGCATGCAAACGGCAGCGCCGCATAGAGCGCGGCCTCCATCATTCATTCAGCACAGAGATACATACATACACATATACATACACACATACACAGATACATACACACACATATACATACACACATACACACACATATACATACACACACAGAGATACATACACACATACATACACAGATACATACACAGATACATACACAGATACATACACACATACACACACATATACATACACACAGAGATACATACACAATACACAGATACATACACACATATATATACATACACAGATACATACACAGATACATACACAGATACACACAGAGATACATACACACACTTATACATACACACAGAGATACATACACACAGATACACACACAGATACATACACAGATACATACACACAGATACACACATACATACACACACTTATACATACACACAGAGATACATACACACACATACATACACAGATACATACACACACATATATACATACACAGATACATACAGAGATACATACACACACATATACATACACACAGAGATACATACGCACACATACAGATACACACAGAGATACATGCACACATATACATACACAGATACATACACACAGATACACAGAGATACATACACACACATGTACATACACAGATACACACAGAGATACATACACACATATACATACACACAGAGATACATACACAGATACACACAGAGATACATACACACATATACATACAGATACACACAGAGATACATACACACATATACAGATACATACACACATATACATACACAGATACATACACACACATACAGGTACATACACACAGAGATACATACACATATACATACACAGATACACACACAGAGATACATACATACACAGGTACATACACAGAGAGAGATACATACACACACAGAGATACATACACACATATACATACACAGATACACACACAGAGATACATACATACACATATACATACACAGATACACACAGAGAGATACATACACAGGTACATACATACACAGGTACATACATACACACAGATACACACAGAGATACATACAGCACACACACAGAGAGATACATACACAGATACATACACACACAGAGATACATACACAAAGATACATACACACAGAGATACATACACATAGAGATACATACAGCACACACAGAGATACATACAGCACACACAGAGATACACACAGAGATACACACACAGAGATACACACACAGAGATACATACAGCACACAGATACACACAGAGATACATACACAGATACGTACACACGCAGACACACACAGAGATGCATACACACAGAGATACATACACACACAGATACATACATACATACACAGATACATACACACAGATACATACACACAGATATATACACAGATACATACACAGATACACACAGATACATACACACATCTGTGCAGCGATACATGCAGATATACATACGCAGAGATGCATACCGATACATACACACAGATGCATAGACAGAGAAGCATACACGCAGATTCATACACACACAGATACTTACAGAGATATATACACGAATATGCATACAGATACATACACACACGTATATAAGACACACGCGTGCAACGCACAGAATCAAGATCTTGATATATCCTGGAGAAATCCGATGAGCCGGGAAGCTCTTTACACAACACACACGTCCCTAACAACATACACAAGGCACGAGTCACACCCACACGCATACCCGCACACAGACACATGTTACACACGGACAATCTAACACACGCATACACGCAGGCACGTGTTTAAACACACGCGAAGTTCAATTCAAAATTAATAATTGCATAAACATTTACTATTATGCAAACCCACACGCCAGTGTATATCAAACAGATGCGTGTCAAATTGCAAGTGTTACACAAAGACAAAGATCCCCCGTGTAGCCTGTAACAGACTGTAGGGGCAAGTGCTGTTAGCGAGCACCTATGAAGGCCGGCACGGTACACGAGGGGGTGGGTGGCCAGCACCACACCCGGCCGCCTTTGTCTCCCCAGTGGCGATGTTTATACACCGCACCAGGTACTCATTTGAGGCTGAGTCGACCTAGGGGAGTCCCAGGACCGGTTCAGAAAATCCATCACTGGGTGTTGGCCGTGAGCGGGAATCGAACCCTGGTCGCCGGGTTCGTAGCGCAGCGTAGCGCTAACCGCTACACCACCGCTCCCCACACACACACAGACACACAGACACACACACAGACACAAGACAAACACACAATCAGACACAGACAGACACACACAGACACACACAGACAGACACACACACAGACACACACACACAGACAGACACAATCAGACGCAGACACACACAGACACACACAGACACAAGACAGACACACACACAGACACACACAGACAGACACAATCAGACGCAAACACACACAGACACTCACACACAGACGACACTTCACCGACGACACTCACACACAGACACACACACAAAGATCCCCCGTATAGCCTTAACGGGACTCTTATGGGGCAAGTGCCGTTTGCGACGTACACGCGCGCGCGCATATATCTTATACACGCACACACAGACACACACACACGTACTGTACCTAAACACACTCATGGCACACACAGATACCACACTGCACAGATATATTGACACAAACATACAGACACGCAGACACAGAGACACAGCGACGAAGATCCCCTTCAACAGACTATTTTAGACAAGCGCTGTTAGCGAGCACCTATTAAGGCGCTACCGGGTGTACATAATTGTGTACACCCGGTACACACGTGTGAGCCTCGTGTGTACATAATTGACACACGATGCACACACGGCCATAGAACAGACGCCAAAGATCCCCCGTGTAGCCTGTAACAGACTGTAGGAGCAAGTGCTGTTAGAGAGCACCTATGAAGGTCGGCACTGCACACGAGGGGGTGGGTGGCCAACACCACGCCCGGCCGCCTTTGTCTCCCCAGTGGCGATGTTTACACACCGCACCAGCTACTCATTTGAGGCTGAGTCGACCTAGGGGAGGCCCAGGACCGGTTCAGAAAATCCATCACTGGGTGTTGGCCGTGAGCGGCGGGTTCGTAGCGCAGCGCGCTAACCACGACACTACCGCTCCCCATACACACACAGACACACACACACGCACACACACTCACACA